TTTCCAGTCTCATGTATTATGCAGGTCTTCATAGCAGCTGGCATTTTTTACTTTCTGTCAAGGAGTCTGTTAATGCTTTTTATAAGAACTGAGAGTCCAGATTTTATAGTAGACTTGGTGTAAGTGAAGACATTTACTTGGAAATGCTATGTCCCTAATCACAATCGTATCTTAGGATTATATGAGTGACATTGTTAAAAGTGCATTACGGGAGGGCTCCAGCGCTGAATTACTGGTATTAATATTCACATACTAAATCCCAATGTAACCAGTTCTATTTCCTCAAAAGCAGAACTGCGCTGAGACCAGTGGCTGTGCGAACAGTTGTATTTTTAGCTGCTTCTGGTAGCGCTTTGCAACTAGAAAAGGGAGAACACAGACTGTGGAGGTGGCAGGACACACCAAAAGAATCACTGCGGTCCAGCTGTCTTCCCTCTGACCCAAAGCAATAACACAGCTGCACCAGCCCGTGCCACCGAGTAGCTTGTCATTGTCAACTGCTGACTTGTGGCATTACAATTAACGTAGCATCAGAATTAAAAGGAGATTAAATCTTCATCCACAACTAAGTGGGTAAGAAACGTGATAGTATCAAACCTGGGAGATTCACAAAACCAAGAGTGACAGAGCAAGCTGTTAAGTCTCTGAGACTGTGGTGTTACAAGGATTTGAGCAAAGCCTTAACTTGAGCTAATTTGGTGAAAAAGAGTAACACTAGGGATGTATCGAAAGAAATTTTAAAGCAAGTGGTAAGTTTGTCTTTGAGAAAAACAAACACGTTTATTCTGAAGACCCAAGTGTCCAGTTACATATAAACTAGTTCCTTTAAACTCACTTCTCCACTTGAGAGGTCAACTGCAGGACAAGGTGGTGTTTCCTCCATTTCTTTCAGTATCAAAGCTGCATTCCCTGTTCTGCACTCCTCCCAAAGCAAAAAATTGTCAGTCGTCTTGGCCAGTATGCAGCATTGCTGCCAGGATTCCTTTATTTGGAGTAGGAACAGTCATTTGGGGGTAGAACTTCCAGTAGGTTTAGGTGAGTTTCATCAGAAGCGGAACTCAGTGGAACTGAGAACCACGCATCTGAGTCGGGAGTGGGAATGGCAAGGAAGAAGTTTGCTAGACTTACTAATTAAGGTGGCAGTTTTTAGTTAATATGATTCTAATACTAGATTAACAGTCTCATAAAAGATAATTTAGTAATGCATATATACATGAGTTACTTGTCAGCACAGAAGGGAATGGAATTACATAGTCAAGCAAAATAACACACTGAAGTATTTTGACTGGCCAAAAGTACTTTTTATCTCAAATGCTCTTAAGTGCTTTTAAGAAATTTACCATATTACTAGAATGCAGGTGTCAAACAGATTTATAGAAACGGGTACCCTTGCAAATTACATTTTCCACATGCTGTCCTCTTGGGTGGTTCTGGCATGGTGCTTTTCTACCGCCATTTCACTTAGAAGTGCTGGATGGTATTTCCAAGGAGCAGTACCAGCCTTGCCTTTCTCCCCGTACTGCTTGTCGGACCAAGTACAGGTCAGGGAGATTTTCCCACGCGGACAGATGCCTTTCTAAAGACCTACAATTCTATGCAACTTTCTATTAGCAAATAAACACTGAACTGTCTTCCAGCATTATGGTTCACTGCCAATCTATTTACATTTTCTACCTTTATATACATGATACAGATAAAACAGCACTTAACAGATCTTAATCTCCAGTCTGTAAAAGAAGCAGTAACACTATTTGTATCACTTCAAAGTACGCTTTGTATAAAAGTTGAACTAATAAAGGGTCTATGCCATTGTTAATGCAGTTTGGTTCACTTCTTTCTGTTACAGAAGTTCAAGTACCCTCTTTACAGACAAAATAGCAAAATTGAGGTATGGTGACTGCTGGGAGTCACAAACTACAGGGTCAGCGTGCTGGATTTTTTTTTTTCCAAATTGAGAGCATACATAGCAATAAACAAGGCTGTTCTGAAAGTGAAGTGCTAGCAGAAGTTGAAAACGCCTAGATTATGAGAGTATGACGCTCCAGCAGGATAATAAACTGGCAAGAAGGAAAAAAAAATATTCACAGAATTGCAGAAGGTTAGGGGTTGGAAGTGACCCCTGGAGACCATCTAGTCCAAACCCCTGTCGGCGCAGGTGGGCCCTGTCCATCGGCTCAAGGGATCTGTCCCTAATACAAGCTTTACAAAGCCACTGCAAGAGCCCGTGTGGGATATTAACATGTAAAACCAGGAAAACACGAGAGTTGTTCAGAAATTGTAATCTAGGGATGCATTTACTTAGCAAACATGAACAATCTGGACACAGCCTATTCTCTTATCTGACGAGTTTCTCAGCAGGGAGAAAAAGGCTGAAAGCTGGCACGTCCCAGCGCTAGAGCAGCACCACTGCATGCAGGTGAGCTGCTCACACCCGTCCGGCTCCATCGGCCTTCAGCCAGCATGGAATAACAAAGACTGCAGAGCTGCTAAAGATTTGGGAAATTACAAAAAGCGGATGCAACTTGTCTCACCCTTATGTATTTCTCCATTAATCAGGACATTTGCTGAACCAAGGCAACTCCTGGCACATTCCAGCCGGAAGCGCAGCCTTCATTAACACTTTCTCCTTTCCAGACAGGCTGCGTACTCAGCCGCAGGGCTTTAGGAGGGAGAACTGTGTTGCACTGTTCTGCCTCACTCCCTCCTGCCTGTTCTGCTCATCAGGTAAGCGAACAATTCACTAAACAGTACTTCAACACTGGCATTAGCCACTTCCAGTGTCCTGGTGCTCCAGTCAGGAAACAAAATGTGAAGATTTGGGGAGGGGGCAACATATACAGGAGCAAAATATAATGCTTAAAGTGCTATTTACCCATGGAATCCAGTTTAAAAGAGCAAACCAAGTAACTCCAAATTTTAAACAGCATTATTTGAAGTTGAATTTATCCAAGATTGAAGGGTCACAGAACTCAATTAATTTAGGGAAAAAAACCCAAAACATGGTAGACATACACATCTTTTTCAAGTTTAACTAAATTTACAGAGCTTCCATACATTAAACAATTTAACCCTTTATTTCCTCCTAGTTTGAAAATGACTAGTGTGACATGCCATATATTTTAAACTTTGAAGAACCAGTACTGAATATTTACATATTTATTTATTCCATGCTTGACACTTTTCATTTCAAATTCCCTGACAGGAAACAAATGTTTCATATCCCTGCTGGTTTCCAACACAGTAAAGGTTTTTAAAAAAATAAAACAACCGTAAGTACATGGCCTAAAGGAGCTAGTCGGCTTTAAAAATATTTATGCAGTGCTCCTTGGAAAAAACATTAATACCTGCAACGCCTGTGAGTGCTCCACCCATTTTAGTCATTACAATTGCATTATTAGTAAAATTCCATCTTCCTGTTATTTTACTACTGACAAAATTATTTTGACTTCCAATCCAAATAATCACTTATTTTAAACAAACGTTAAAACAACTGACATGCAAGCACATCACCTCTGAGAAGAGCGTGGTGCTGTCCCAGACTCTCCATACAATGAAAGTACACATAAAGGGGTCTTCTGTGGTTCAAATAAAAACCTACTTCATTTAGGCAGCATAAAGCTTAAAAAAAAATAAATCAATACTTTAGAATTTAAAATAGGGTGCTGAAGTTTGAATTTAGGCAGACAAGCTGTCCAAAGTAAGATTATGTAAAGCAAGAACTTTACAACTGGACCTTATTTAAGTAGACAAAGACCCCTTTTATGGTACTTTTGTAACGTCAAGCGTAAGTGAAAATTGAACTCAGATGACAATGGTGCTCATTTGTAAAATTTTTATATGGCCTAAAAAAAATAATAACATCTACCACTCTTCACCCCATCTACAAAAGCTACTGAGAATCAGTTAATTCTATGAAATCCCATGGAGACCAAAGGAATGCAAACATGTAAAAAGCTCACTTCGCTCACTGAATTTAATACACAAAGAAATTTAGAGCTGAACCCAGTGGTATGAATTCCTATGTCTCTAAGTTTTTCTTTCCACATCGTATCTCAGTCTAATTACAAAAACAAAAATCCAAACCACCTCTTCAAAGGGAAGTTTTAGCATCGATGCTTCACTGTAGTTGTCCAGTTTATAGATTCCGTCTCTATGCCTTCTCCTCATTTATCTAAATCAGCACTCTGCTGGCAATTAATTAACTCCAGGCTCTCTAAGGGTACAGGTGTGTCACCTTTTAACTTCAAAACACACTCAGACTTCCCAAAATTCTTGTGGTCCTAATGCACGAGCTGGAGTTGTGGAGTAAATGCTGGAATGTAATCTTATTCTCTGCAAAGTTAGTGACAGATTCTCTACTAATTTTAACAAGTGTGGGGTCAGAATTGTCCAACCACACTGATAAAGCTGTACAACAAAGCCCACCTAAATTATGTTTGCATTCGTGTTCTTTCACAGATTAATTTCAGTCAATCTATTACCTGCTACTTCAACTGCTCCCAGATGGACCTCATTCATTAGTAACTCAGACTGGCTAAACAAACAAACAAACAAACCACCAAAATGGGCTAATGGCTCTAAACCTGAGAGAAAAAAATCTAAAATTGCCTTACATACATATAGATATTTTTTTATTTTCTTGCAGTAATAAGTCACACAGAAAACATCTGTACCTTTCGTTTGGCACAAAGAGTATTTGAGAAGTCCTTCAAGTCTTAACTCAAAGAGGTTCTTTACCGAGTATTGTCTACTGAAGTCCGCAAAAAAATTAAAACATTCTTTCAAAAGGAACAAAAAAAAAATTTACAATTGTACACAAAAAGTCTTGGATTTTATTGAAATTGCAAGTCTTGTATCAAACAAAAACTTCTCTTGAGACAAAAATATTCTCTTGGTGTCCTCCAGATACCAGTAACTGTGAATTGGTCCTTTAGTGCCGCTGCTTTCTTTGTCATCTTCACAGAAGTCCACATGGTTGGGCTGTTCCATTAGGTCTCATTTTATCGTGTGAAGGAACGTACATGACGACCTCTTCCACTGCCTCCACTAACAAACTTTCCTCTTGAGCCACCACTGCTACTACTATTAGCACTTGTCCAAGACGGTCCAATTCCTCCCCGGCCTCTGGAAGCACGATCGCGAGGACTCGGTCGGTAGCCTTAAAGCAAAGAAAAGTATACTCAGTTGGAAAAAAAAAAAAAAAAAAAAAAAGCCCTAGGCGTAGCAGCTGCTGCGAAAGCATAAGAAACAAAAACAAGATGAGACACAAACGGGGTCTGTTTCCTCCTTCTAATTTTCACTTTTCTTTTAGGCAAGCATTTTCGCTTTGATTTGCTCTATCATTACCATGTAGGTACGAAGACAACTGAATTGCAAAAATCTGAATGCGAAATTAAGATTCTGCGATCAAGCGTTCAATTCAGCAAGTTTTACGGATTACAGGGCAGTTCGTACGAAAGCACGTATTTGACACAGTCTCAGAGACAAACTGTTCATACATGTTTAAAACATTTGCTGAATTTCAAGGTGTCTGCAGCATCCTTGCATGGTTTCATTTGTAAAGCAAAAATGAAATTCAAGGAATTCTCTATAGTTCGATGCCCATATGAATACCAAAAATGCTGAACTTAATGGTCTCAATGGTGGCAGTGGACCCCTGTTAAAATTGCTTTGACCACCTCTACTGTCATTGTAGGTTCCCCTGGGTGTACTCTGTGCACTCCAACTTGAGCCTCGGGCACCTTCACGACGACTGTAATTTCCTAGATAGGGAGAGAAAAACCCACACGCTGTTGAGCAAACATCATTTTTACTTTTTTTTTTTCATTTCAGTCTTCATAATACTTAGAATCATGGAATGGTTTGAGCTACAAGGGACCTTCAAGATCATCTAGTTCAACACCCCTGCCATGGGCAGGGACATTCCCACTAGACCAGGTTGCTCATAGCGTTTGTGTAATTCAACAGATAAAGCTACTCTGCATCAACATAGCCTCAGTACTGTAACTCAAAGCCTACAAGTTACTGTATCACACACAGAATCAGGAACATACAGATTTTTCAGACATAATGTGAACTGTTTTAAACTTGAGCTTATCTAGTGGATTAAGACAGATTCCTATATTTTTAAGGTTTTGTGGGAAAATAAACCCCAGTATTTATAACCTGACTATAAACAGAAGTATGTTCTCTTTCTACTGTGCAAAGACTTGCCCTAATTATGAGATGGAAAAGAATACAAACTTGTCTTTATATAAAAGAAACTTCACACTTTGTAGCTAGAATCTCCAAGGTCACTGAAAACCATGTCTTATTTTTGTCAGGATCCCTCATCCTTTTATTCAAAACCCAGAGCTGTATTGTGATGCTTGATTTCAGGAACTACATTGTCACAAATGGTAGAGAGGGCTTTTGGTTTCTCTGACTGCACCTCTGAAGCACTCCGACAGTTGTTACCAGGAAGCAGCTAACTCCTTGGGTAAAAGGCAGGCCAAGAGAGGCAATGCAGAACTCATGGCCTTGCTTCGATTCCACAGCACTGGAGAGAACCTGTTCTAGTGCTAAACAACTTATTTCAACACTGCTCCTTCAGGATCATCTCGCACCAGGGATGATTAACTGCTAGTACCTTGGGTTGGCATTACTGAAGCACTTTGAGCATTCATTGACTCCAACAAACAGGAAACAACATACCTTTTGAAGCAGGTGGTGTAAAGAACCTGTTCTGACTGTGAAAAGCTCCTCGTCCTCCCCGATTCCCTGAGAATCCACCACGCGAAGAAATCTTCTGCGACACTTTTGGTGGTCTTTTGGCTGGTGGTATCCCATCTGGAGCAACCACTTCTTTACTCTCTGCAGCAACAAAATCATCCACGTGCATGGAAGGTGGCCGGCTCGTATTCTGTTTCCTCTGACGGAAGATATCATGTGGTCGAATTCCTTGTCCAAATCCTCCCCTGCCTCTTCCTCTTGGTGGTGGCACAACATGAGCTCTCTTTGCAGGCTCTATGTACTCAGATTTTCCACTGTCATGACAAAGCATGATTGACTTAGTTAGTGTCAAAATGTACTCATAATGAAGGGCAGACATTCTCCATATCGGAGATGCAATTCAAAAGGTATTTGACATTTTGAGAATAAAGAAAACAGTGCTGAACACACTGTTTACTCATCAAGCTCATCTTACCTTGAAGTTATGAAGGTCTCATGCTTGTGCTTGCCGAGTTTGAACCCTTTTGTGGTTTTTGTGCGGCCAGGAGATGATGGTTCTGACAAAAATGACCTCTCCAATTCAGCTTGCAAGTCAAAGTCACTGCAGCCCTTCTCTGACAGTTCAATTAAGTCAACTTTCACCTGCAGGGATAGAGTTCAGCTTTATCACAACAAGGATGACTAGCACATCTTAAGAAGAAAACACGCTGTATCAGGATGCACGAAATTCAGCTAAGGTCCTTCTACTAGAGCAAAAAATTCCATCCTCTACCCTTTAATGCAGTAGTGTGACTCGAAACAAAAAGCAGCAGTAATATAGCAAAAAAGCAGCAGAGCTGCAGCAAAATTTTCTTGGTGACTCTGAATCTTAACAATGTCAAGGGCATGGCTTTCAAGTACAAACATTTATCACTGAATGACCTACAGTGAGGCCCCCTTTTGCTTAAGCTAGTCTTATAAATTTATTGATGCTGCTTTTATACAGAAAGCAAGTTTTGGTTTTGCTTAAGAAATTAACACATAAGCATCTTTGCACGTAAATTGTAAAAGAGTAAAATTAAAAAATAACTAAGCCAATGAAGTCAACAGAAACTGGTATTTCTCATGTAAGAAGTTAAGACATTGCCAATTGCTTAGTTTTAAAAAGTCATTGTATATTTTTCAAAAGGAGATTTAAAGTTTAGATTATAAAACCCAAGCTTCAAATATTGTAAGAAGCTTTTGTGCAAGTAGCTTCATTTACTAGTGCCCTTTTTTCCACTTTTGTCATATCAGAACAAAGATTTTTTTACTTATTTTTTTTAAAGTGCAGCTGTCAGGCTCTTTGGACATCATTCCAATGACAGAAGAAAGCAAGGAAAAGAAAATAAATCACATTGTCTACGTTTAACACAAACTGCTAAAATGCTCCAGCAGCAATACAAAAGCGGGTTAGGACTAAGACAACAACTGCTCGTCTAAAGGAGATGACTTGTGTATTAGAGCACTGCAGAAGGTGCCAATTTTGTGGCTGCCTCCAAAAGAACCTGAAGGCATTTGACAACGACCTCTAACAAATGCCAGCCCCTCTATCTGGGTTAATTTACAAGAGGGAGCTCAGGAAAACAAACCATTTGACAATATGATTTTCTGACACTCTAGCTCACATTAACTCTCATTTTTAAATCCACATCAGTTATGTTAAGGAAGCCTTTTACCATATCCAGATCAGTGTCTATTTCTTCAGCCTGGAAGGGTGAGAACCACATGGACTTCAGCTGGTCATCCATCACATCTGCCAACACGTACGTAGTCCTGCAACGAAACGACGTCAAGTGCCTCTTTGGATATGAACTACAACCAACGGCAAGCACATACAGCGTTATAGAACCAGGGGTGAAAGTTGCTGCCCTACCCTTGATAATTCCACAAAATTAAATACACTGGGATTAGTATGTAGTAGTGACAACAGTTTTGTTTAGATCCTCTTTGTAATAAACTCGTGCAGAAATTATTGCGCTTTCTTAAATAAATGACAAAGAGTATGCTCACACATTTAAACGTTTTACCTGTTGTTAAACAAATTCTGAAGAGAGTCTGGTGCAGAAAGAACAGGCTCTACATCTTGGTCACTCAGCGGACAAGAATCACCTGCTGCTTCCAACATTTGCCTCACTCCAACAATGTTGTCCAGTAAGGATTCGAGGCCATCATCTTCCTTAGAACGATCCTAAGTCAACACAGCACAAGTCAGAAATTTTCCTCTGCTCAGAGAAGGAAATATGCTTTTGTTAACTTGAAAAAAAAAATTAAAAAGGGGAGGGGGAAGTGCTTCACAAAACAGTCTGGAATTACCAAAAGAGAAGTTTGATTCCCCTGCCACGGTGCTATCCTCCAACCCACTGTAAGTAGCTCTGAGATAGTTCCTTAGCCCTCTTCACCAGACTAAAGAAGCCCGCCTTCCTCCTCCTCTCTCTACAGCCCATGCTCTAGGTCTCTGATCACCTTTGTAGAGCCCCCTTCAGTTTCCCTATAGATCCCTCTAGAACTAGCAAGAGGGCAAAGCTGCCCCAAGGTGAACACAGCACTCTCCAGGAGAGCTCACCAGCACCCTGTGGAGCAACACAGCCAGGTCCCTTTATTTGCTGACCATGCTCCTTCCAGGACAGCTCAGAACAAGGTCTGGTTTGTAGCACCCAGGCATTGTTGGCCCACGTTCAACCTAACACCGACCATAACCACCTGGCTCTTTTCGGCCCAGGCATGGAGTTATCCTCCTTTCACTGCACAGCTTTGCATTTTTCCTAATGAGCCACACAAGCTTTCTGCTACATCAATCCTAAAAAGTTTACTGAGGTCCCTCTGGATTGAGGCTTTACTATTTGTCACATTAGTCACTCCACCAGCTTACTGCCATCTACAAATTTGCCGAAGATGTATCCATCATTCAAGTCTCTAATGAAAACATCTAACAGTATCAGCCCCAATACTGACTTGGGGATATTCCAGTTGTTACTGGTCACCAGTAACACCAAGCCCCTGCTAAGCAGTGGTTTCTGTTGCTTATTATGTTAACCATCTGCTTCACCACTATCTGGTATTCTCTGTTGTATACATTCACTGCCTTTCATCACACAGTTAACTGCTTATGCTCTTACGGTGTGGAAATACCCTCTGAACAAGGAGATCCCAACCCTACTTGAAACTTCCTCGCATTATCACAATACAAACAATAAAGTCAGAATCCATCCTGCATCAGAACAGGCACTAGAGTATTAAAACTGGTGACAGTTATTACCAGTTCCACAGAGGATGCCAAGGAAGTGCACACCCTCCTCATCAAGAAGGGACATTCTACATTATTTTAAAAACACATTCAGATACAAGACGGCAACATCAACTTGATTATTTAAATTCTTTTACCATAACGTGTTTCTCCAGATCAAGAAGCAGGTTTTCTGGGGTTTCTTCTTTGTTCTGCAGTAGATGTTTTAACTCTGCGGTAGTTAGTCCCAGCGTTCTGCCTGGATGAGAACCATCTGCTTCCATAAGGCTTCCATCATCTCCACAGCATCCCTGAAATATTTGACAAGTAAGAAATAAGTACATGTAAATATTCATTATACTTGTGGACTGCAAACTCCCAGAATTCAAATGGACAGTAGAGCTAATCCAGCAACACAAGAGTAATCTCTTGATTTAAAAACATACTATGCAAAATATTTTCATAAAGCACACTTCAGTAGGCAGGTTTAGACGTTGCATCAAGATAAATGAAATCCTTTCCTATATAAGCTGAGGTTTGTATCACAGAACTAATAAATATTTTAGATTCCTTTCTATACTACATATCGATGCAGCAACTTTCTAGCAGGACGCCATGAATCTAAAACCTGGACACTATAGCACACAGTTCCCTTAGGAAAACAGTATGATCCACGTGCTATTCTTCCGCTGAAAACCTCTCCTATTTCCTAAACATATATTCTGCCCAGCTTTCACAGATTTCATTAAAAACTAAAGATGGCACTAACACTACTGATGGAAAAGCCTTACACAGCAATCTGCACAGTCAAGCACTTTCTGAAATAATTGCTCCTGAACATGTCTCACACTTCAGATACCACAGAAATGCAGCTGAGCTTGTCTAGGTATTCAATATATATTCACTTACCACCGTATCAGAGTTTAGAATCTGTCGCATAAAATCCAAAAAAGAAGAGGCCAGTTCACCTGTGTCTTTGCTAAAACTAGTTATTACTCGTTTTAATACAGTGTACAGAGCAGTGCTGTGTTTTCTTAGAGAGCTGTTTCCATAATGAAAAGAGAGAAAAAACCTTTATTAGTGCACACATTGTGACCAGTCCACTCTAACTTCTTATAAGAAAATGACATATATGCAAAATAGATTTGGTAAATTTTACAGATATCACATTAACTTTTGATTACAAAGCTGGAGCTTCAGTATTTTCTCTGTACTAGACTGCTGTTCTCACAAGTGCTGTCCACAGATATTTCAGACAGCATATATACAGCAAGACATACTAGAGCAACACCTCAGAAACCCACAAGAAATTACATGTTCGGTAGAAAAGCAACAGCAGTACAGAAACATTTGCTTGCAAATATATATATCTAAAGCAGGATCACGTTTGCTGTTAGCATTTCACTGCATCCCATGTTGCCTAATGTACTGGGTCAGGCTGAGATGACGTTAATTTTCCCACAGCAGCTCTCATAGTGCTGTGGTTTTGGAGCGGTAGCTAGAAGAGCGTTGATAGCACCCCAGTGTTTTGGCTGCTGCTGGGCAGTGCTCACACAGCACCGAGGCTGTGGTTTTCCAACATTCCCCCAACAGTAGGCTGGGAGTGGGCAACATCTTGGGAGGGGACACAGTCAGGACAGCTGACCCAAACTGAGCAAAGGGGTATTCAGACCATATGTCAGCTCAGATATAAAAGCATGAAGGAAAAGGGAAGTGGGAGGGTATTTGCTATTTGTGTTTGTCCTCCGGGGCAACCGCTACGCCTACTGGAGCCCTGCTTCCTGGGAAAGCGGCCGGACATCGCCTGCTGATGGGAAGTAGAGAATAATCTTTGTTTGGCTTTGCTTCCGTGTGCAGTCTTTGCTTTTGCTGTATTAAACAGCTTTTTATCTTAACCCGCGAGCCTTTTGTTGTATCTTCCCTCTCCCCTGTCCAGCTAAAAAGGGGCTCCTGGCCTCCAGTCAGGGAGAAACCACAACACCTAAGTGCAGAAACAAATCATAAAAGTACCTGTCAAAACACAAATAGCAAGGCTGTGCACCTGAACCTGACAGCTAGGCATACGGGATCATAGAAACAACACAGCAGCTTTAACTTTCTTATTTTTCATTTGCAGGTTGCATAGCTTCTTGCAGCCTGAGCAGCACAGTTCTGCAACACTCCTTAGAAGAGTCTTTTGAACAACCTTTTACTGACAAAGCTCCAGGTACTATCTTCTTCTCTTTGGGAAACTCACAACTCTCTTGCCTCTCCGTAACCCACCTTGAGTGGATAGAAATGGTCCAAATACAGGACAAGGAATTAAGTGTCAAACAACACAATACTACCCAATGCATGTATATATTCAGTTCAAAAGGGAGTGGAGTCAAGAAAAGTAGTTTAAAAAAACAATTATAAAAGCCTCGTTTCAAAAGACTTAATTAAGCCTAGATGTCAGAACACTCTAAGGAAGTGCAAACTGAATCCCTACAAAATAAAGGGAATGACAGATAACTCTCTAACCCCAGACAGGAACTCTAAGGACCGAGTGATTCAAAAGAGAAGGACATCATTATCCCACTCCAGGCTTGGAGTGGGGAAATAGAGTGTACAATCCTTTTATCAATGTTTTGTTTGTTTCCTGAAAGGGAGTGCTCCTGTGTGCGCTGCAGAAATGATTCAGAGGTAAAGCTCAGACCAAAATACTGAGCAAAACACTGAAGCCCCAAAGAGAAATGAAAGCTCAGGTACCTTATTCTTAGCATTTTCTACTAAATGAGTAGGAAACGATTTAACATTGCAGAAGTTTTACAAAAATTTTAAGTTGTCAACTATCTCTTAAAATGCCATACCTCTTTAAATGATAGAAGCCATAGTCATGCTCTGTAAGGAACATCATTGTTCGGATACACGTCAGCAGACAATTGTAACTGCTCTCAGAATTAGTTAATGTTTCCATCAGACAGTCACAAATTAAGGGCATCAGCTCTTTGTTTGGTAAGGAGTTGGAAAGCTGCTCAGATTCAGACACGGAGCCTTCTGATGAGCTTGGTAAAATGAGTGCAATATCCTATAAAAAATTATTATTATTATACGCATAGTAAAAAAATGCATTTTGTATACCAGCAATAAGTATAAACTACACATTAAGACAGAAGTACTAGGGGTTCTTTTATCACCTCTTTAACATCTTTTTCCAGTATTTCAGTTATTACTGGCTAGTAAAATACTAAGCCAGACTATCCTTTTTAGTTTGGTTCTCTTAAGTGTTACAAACCATTATTGATTCTTAAAAACATAAAATTTTCAAAGGCTGAAATAGTAAAGCCATAACTAAAAGCCAAACAGTCATTGGATAATATGCATATAGTTTCTTGCCCAGATAGTCCAATTGTCCCTTAATTTCAAAACATTCAAAACACGGTGAGTGACAGAGGTCACTCGGTTTGTTCAGCTTGGAGAAGAGAAGGCTGAAGGGTGACTCCATTCCGGTCTATGACTTCCCTAAGGGCGGCACCAGAGGGGGGTGTGCTGATCACCGCTCTCTGGTGACCAGCAACAGGACTCAAGGAAATGGAATGAAGCTGTGTCAGGGGCAGTTCAGGACGGAGGGCAGAATCGTAGAATGCTTTGGGTTATAAGCGATCTAGTCCAACCCTCACCCTGCAGTGAACAGGGTCTTTTTTAACTAGATCAGGTTGTTCAGAGTCCCATCCAACCTGACCTTGAAAGTTACGGGAAGGTTCTTCACTGAGAAGGTGGTCGGTCACTGAACACCTAGAGAAGTTGTCATGGCACCAAACCTGTCGGGGAGCATCTGGATGACACTTTTAGTCATATAGATAAGCTTTAGATAGTCCTGCAATGAGCAGCAAGTTGGACTCAATGATGCTCATGGGTCCCTTCAACTTGAGATATTTTACAATTCTGTGAAAATTAAGAGGCTTCAGACACCACCCAGGAAGTTTAAGATCTACTGCCCCCTCCACACTTTATGTAAAACAAGATTGACTTTCACAATGAATTTGCATAGGTAAAGAGTTCTTGTTTATATGCAAATGGCTAATTAATTGCTACTGATCAACAAAACTCAAATGCCTTCTGTGCAAGTGGGTAAGCACTAAATCAAATAAATACGTGCAACTCATAAGGCAAATCTATGCACGTATCTAACAAACTATCTGGGCTAGTCTATGAATCAGCTTTTAGATAACATTTCTTACTTGGTCTAGTAATATGCTCCTTTTTTAAAAAAAATGGTGTTTTATGGCAGCAGCGTATTATATTTGTTTATATTTGGAATACCTTTTTAAGGTTAAGGAAGAGATACCTATTTACTCAACTAGGCAAGAGATGAATAGTTTCAACTCAAGCTTTGCTAGTGGCCCATAGGAAGAATTTACATCCCTCTCGCAGCTGAGGGGACAGTCAATCTGTGCAGCTGTCCGTTTTTGGTCTCTAACGAGCTACCAGAATAGCACACATAATGCAGAAGATACCACACAATGAAAGGATTTACTTTCAAAAATCGGTAAGACAGGAAGCCTGTCAAAGCAGCCAATCATATACACTTTTTTCTTTTTGTGTTTTAATAAGCTTGATGTGGTTTTTTTTCTTTTTGGAAAAAAGCCAGCACCTAAGAAACAGCCTCATTTAATTTGTCTCCTACAGTTATCAAGGCACATTATGCACTAAATAGAGAAAATACCTGATCACAGAGGGACTGCAAAAGAGAAGTTACATATTCAGCGCACTGCTGATGAGTGACATTGTCCCCAGCCGATCGCATCAGCGCCAAGAGCTCCTGGAACACCTCTGCGTACTTTTCATCCCCTTTAGTAGTTCCATTGATAAGATGCAAAATAGCCAATTTACAAGCTTTATGTGAAGCCAGGGCATCCAATAAAGCAAGCAGTCGAGTGGTCTGCCCACTGTACTGCTTCTCTTTATCTTCCGTGTTGCTGAAAGGATATCAATGCATTTTGAAAAAGCTGTTTTCAAGGGATGTAAGAACTATAAAAACAACCATTACACAAGTCATATAATTCTGCATTTAAAAAAAATAAAAAATCCAAAACACCTAGTTTACATACCTAAGCTTACAGTTTCATCTATTTTTTGAAAATCGCTCAAATTTCACTAAATTCCTTCTGCTTGCATCACAAATTAACTAATCTACTACATATTTAACATACCATAAGGCATCTAATTGTATATAGATAAATACATTTTTATACAAACAGTATCTAATTCTATGTGGATAATTACGCTTTTAAATAAACTGTACTCATTGTTTCAAAATCTTCTGAACTTTTAGTATCTAACCTTCTTCAGTTACAAGCATCTACACATCTTCCTGTTAGCATGCAAATCCCAGTAGAGCAAACTTTACTGGCCTACTTTTCTTATTTATATGAGACAGGTCCATTAGAAGTACTTTACAGATGAGATAAGGCTTTGTAGGGATAGCCTTAAGAGAATCTTCCTGAAATATTATAAACAACCAGTGTGAAACTGTCTACATGAAAACTTATGGTCTTATAAGAAGCAATGTCAGGACACAGTCTATAGCAGTGGACTGAGAGGTTCTGTATGAGTTTCTACAATGTCAAGTGCCGAGTCCTGCGCTTTGGTCACACCAATGCCCTCCAGTGCTACAGGCTTAAAAACTGGAGAGCTGCTCGGCAGGAAAGGACCTGGGGGTGCTGGGCAACAGCCGGCTGAACGTGAGCCAGCACTGTGCCCAGGTGGCCAAGAAGGCCAATGACATCCTGGCCTGTATCAAAAATAGTGCGGCCAGAAGGAGCAGGGAAGTGATCATGCCCCTGTACTCAGCACTGGAGAGGCCACAGCTTGAGTACTGTGTCCAGTTTTGGGCACCACAGTATGAGAAAGACATCAAGGTGCTGGAGAAGAGCAACGAAGCTGGTGAAGGGTCTAGAGAACATCTTAGGAAAAGTAGCTGAGGGAGCTGGGATTGTTTAGTCTGGAGGAGACCTCACTGCTCTCTACAACTACTGAAAGGAGGTTGTAATGAGGTGGGTGTTGGTCTCTTCTTCCAAGTTACTAATGATAAGACAAGAGGAAATGGCCTCAAGTTGCACCAGGGGAGGTTTAGATTAGATATTAGGAAAAATTTCTTTACTCAAAGAATGGTGAAGCAATGCAACAGGCTGCCCAGGGAAGTGGTGGAGTCGCCATCCCTGGAGGTGTTAAAAAAGCATGTAGATGTGGCACTTCAGGATATAGCTTAGTGGTCATGGTAGTGTTGGGCTGATGGTTGGACTAGACAATCTTAGAGGTATTTTCCAACCTTTACAATTCTATGATTCTATAATGGATAAGTCATATTTCTGAAAATATTTTCCTCCTGCAAACTGTACTGCATGGAACCAAGGTGAACTTAACAGTTCATTAAAGAAATCATTGCAACAGGAAAAAAAAAAAAAGATACCTTTGCAGGTCTTCTACAATCAAATCCAGTACAGTCCTCATGATAAGAAGAGCAGTAGGTGAAGCCAAGTCACACAACTGAACACAAATACGTCTCAACATATGCTGGATAGGCTGGCAAGATGAACCGGAAAAAGATCGAACTATCTCTTGTATCAGTTTGGCCTGAACATGCAGATGCATACTCCACAGCTTCCTGGTGTTGAGTGCCACAGAAATATCATGTGGTTCAATTACCTGCAGGAACAGAAGGACAGGAGGTTTTTCCTTTCCACTTTTATCATAAAATCTGAATTCTAGCACAAGGTATACACAATGACTAAGTACTAATACTGTCCTCATCAAAACCATGGAACGTCGTTTTCATCCTTAACACTGAATGAAAGGGCATAGTTCCAGCAAATCAGGTATTCCTTTGGAGCATGGGCTGTCACACACCTTTTATGCTTACGTGGTAGAGATGACAAATTCAAGATCCATGCCAAAATAAAGGAACGCCTTAATATACTAGGAGTTTGACACTCAGAGTTAAACTCAAAGGCTTCATCATTTAAGTAATAGAATGGAAGTCTAGATAATTTTACAATTGACAGAAGAAAAACTTACGACTGCTAATTTAAAAAACTGCTTCAAATAACTTTTTTCCTGATGAAAAAAGATGCAACTTCAAAGAATCTGTATGAACACAAATGCTTTACATAAACTTTAATTCATCCTTTCACTCATCTGTTTTTTCCAAAACTACGAAAATGGTTTAAGGGTTATATATAACTAAAATTATTTCAAAACTAAATAAATCTAAATTATACCTGAGTCGTCTGCATAGGCAGTGGAAGGGGCAACAATTCTGAAAGCAGTATAAGCCCAGAGAAAAAGCCTTCAGGAATTCTCAAAATTGAAGAGAGGACTTCCTTCAGCATTAAAGACCAAGTATTGTTCGCCAAAGTTTCTTCAGAAATCGTAAGTTTTTCATTAACACCTTGTGTAAAAGTCAGCAAGATGTCAACAATGTCATTCTGTATTTTTTGTTCATCGCTATCTAAGCGGCCCGAGAGAGGAATAGAGCACAGGAGCATGTGCAAAGAAACAAGTGCCGATGGAACACGCATGTCTTTGAATTCAAAAGAACCCCCCCTCAGGAGTTCTGTCAGCATGGTTTTAAGGAGAGTAAGCGTGCAGCGAGCCATTGAAACGGTAGTAACTCTGTGAAGCGTGGTGCCCATGTTGACGTGGAGACGCCAAGGCTGAATAAGTATGCTGTTCAGCTTCTGTAATACCCGGATGAAGGTGTCCATTCCCTCCGAAGAAAAGAGCTGAATGACTGCAAGATTCCATTTGAGGTCTTTCTGCTGACCTGTATTAAAAAGAAATAACATTTCTGTACGTCTAATGCCTCCCTGGCAATCGCGGTTACACTTTAGACAAGTTTAAGTAGAAGACTCAGAAAACTATGTTTTCTACGTTAAGCAGTACGAATATCTCAACCTCACCTTCTACCAGAGGCGGTGGACACGCAACATGACAAAGAACACGAAGTGCAGTAGGAAGACCAACTCCATCTGGGGTCATCAGACTGTCAATATTCTTTGAGGAATAAAAATAAATAAATTAAAAAACCAAACCACATATTACAAGGAAGGACTTCACAACAACTGCACCTTAGTATTCAAATTCTGTATTTAGGTACTGGAAACATTCCACAAAATTTAAGGCCAATTACTCAACCTTTTGGAAAGCAGTCACAAATAGAGCAGAAGCAAATAAAAAGGAGGGACATTTGCATTGTGGTTTTATGGGAAGCTGAAAGATTTAAATAGTTGGATCTTTGCATCATGTAGTTACCTTAGATTTTGTTTCAATAAATATAACTGAATGTAAGAAAAGGCCTGGATCACAAGCTTTAATAAAAACATCTGTTTTGCATAATAGTATATATTTTTAAACTATGTTAGCACATATCTAGAGATCAACTATCAAATTACAAAAGGTCTAAGCTTATAAAGCACAAGTAAAAGATAGCATCTATCTGTATTTTACTAACCTGTTTGATATATTCAATGAGATTTGGAATGCAATTTATTTCAAATCTAAGATTTTTCAAAGGTTCAAGCCACTTGCTGAGCTCTGGGAATGGGGAAAAAAAAAGACTTAAGTACTTGTTAGTGCATTTATGAACATGCAAGTTTTTTCAATAAAAATGTTCAGCTGTAGCCAGCTGAAAAGCATCAGTAAACACAAGACTTCAAAACAGACAGTCCACCTCACATACACAGGCAAAATTTGGCTCAAGTCAATAAGATGAAAATTACTTGAGTGTTTGGGTTATCTGTATTATTTGTAATAATAACATATTTTTTAGAAGACATTAAGAGTCCCACTGTCAGCTAAAGAAAAAGCCATCAAGAGCAAGGACCAAAGCACAATGTACATAATGGGTTATTACAAACTGAAAACAAAACTTCTATTAAAAGCCCAAATGGAGCCAATGTCCGCACCAGTATCATATACACACTCCAGAAGTCTTACAGATTAACAGCCTCTCTCTCTTAGCCCAGATTAACCTGAAAATCCCATTTTTGGGAGGCAACAAGAGATTTCAGGTTTTAAAATCCATTGTTCCTGAAGATATCTGTAAGAATGTGAAGGTTCAAAGTTCAACTGGATATGAATTGACAACTGGTCTCAGACATGCTTTGGTTTAACAAATCAGCCCCCGCTTTTATGAAGTGGTCTGATGATCAGGTGAGGAGCAAATAAATAAAATCATGGCAGAGGAGTAAATCAAACTAAAACATTGAAGAATTCTGATTTCTTTCAGTGCATTTAAATTTTGGAAGATACAGCTGGCATGTCTACACTAGTCAGTTAGGCAGTGCAGAGCACGACTCTGGACATCAGAGTTTTCAACGTTCAGGTGTCAGACCAGTCCCCAGCAGGCTTTTGCCACATGACCTGAGCCCGATCCGTGAGTTACCACAAGCCAAGAGACACACCAAGACACAGTCTGGAAGTCAAAAGATTTAGTAAGAGGGTAACATGGACTATTCCATGCCAGTTGGCCTAGGTGCAAGAAAACAGTCCCAGGTTTATTTATCACAATGTAAAGACCCTACAAAGCTACATCACCAAAGGGCACAACAAAACATAGGAGTCAGTTCACTGACTAGTTAGTCCATTTTTACTAACATTCACTCTCCTATTTTCAACACAGAAATAATTTCAAACTCCTTAATTATCCAAAATTCATGGTAGTTAATATTACTTGAAAAATAATTTATCTATAAAGAGTTTCCTATTTAATTCTCATTAACAGAAAAAGAAAATACACATTACCTCAGTGACTCAAATAATTAGATGCAGCTGGAAAGGGAATTGCATTTACACACATTATCCAAACCAGATGATCATGAAGCACCAGTTACCCACATAGAAAAGGTTTCCTCTATACATTCACACAATTCAGTTTATAATGACACATACTGTACCTTGCAATTTGGTGTTATTTTCATCTGCTTTACAAAGCTTCAGCAAAGGCGCCGAGTGCTGTTCCAGCATTTGGACATCACTGGAAGACTGCACCACCAGCAAAACAAGGATGCAGGCATAATTATAAGCAACCGACTTCTTAGACTTTGAGTCTCTGAAACAACAATAAGGATTTTGTTTAAATCTCAGCTAATGTAACTGGATATGTTTGATTTTCATTCATGATACAGAACTTTTTACCTTCACCAAGGATTGCCCCTGTAATTACTGACCAAAAAAAACCCCAAATAATTTTCTCCTATGCTTTTTGAAACATGAAAGCTTTCTTTGACTTCATATTTATTTCAGCATACGCAAAAGACGAGAGTGAGTCAAGCAGCATACAAATCTTTTTCTGTAACTTTGTCTAGTTTACAAAACTTGTTTTAAAAGCACTGATACTTGAAGCAGTAAAACTGCCTATCCAGAGAAAATAATGGTTGGTTTTAACACTGATAAGAACTTAAAGAACTGAGAGATTCTCACCCCAGAGAAGTGTAGAGTTTCCAGTTTCCCCAGTCAAATCTTTTGCTTGTTTCAGTCAAATTTTATGCTTGAATGAAAAATGCCCACTTAACTGATTTTTACACACAGCCAAAACTCTGACCTATACTACAGAACCTTTCTGGATGATGCATGCAGATTCTAGGTATTGAGTACTTGATTACAAATGACAGGCCTGATTTCCTGTTACGTTCTCATAGTTAAAATTTGTTTTGTTTTTAAATAAAAACATTACGATGTAAAAGAAAAAAAAATTCAGCTACACTTAATTGTTTATAAAAGATATTTGTAAAATGTAAAAACCTAATGGTTAGAAATAAATTAATAAATTACCCTAAAGCTTCTTTGGAATAGTACTCCATTAGAGTAATAAGACTTTGCAGATTTTTCTCCAGACTGAATACATGAGCCACAGCAGATCTTCCCACAGGATTAAAGGTAATCAAGTAAAGGTTGTGAAGTGTTCCCAGCAGATCCGAGTGGTCGGTCTCCTCACTGGCTGTGCACCGCTGGAAGTGGCAGAATAATTCTGAAATGCACTGTAACGTCTGCGTTGAATGGAGGAGCCACAGGGCAAAAGTATCCTCGTTGGCACCGTCTGATTGGAGACCTTCCTCCTGATCTGGATCAGAAAACTGGCAAAGAGCTCTAATCAACAAGTTCGTTGCTTCGTACTCGGAAATAAAGAAAAGCAGCCCCTTCTGTGACTGTGCCAGGAAACGCAATATATCTCGTATGGCTTGAAGCACTCCTGGATGTGCACCTGTCACCGGAATAGACAGTAGCAAAGTAATGCATTCCAAGAAATGGTGACTATGAAGATATCTGGGAGAAAGCAAACAGGAAAATAATCAGTAATATTACAATCATCTGTTAATACTGCATAACAATATTATATGAAATTACATGCCTCACAGCTTTGGTACTTACTGGTCTGTGGACTATGAGAAATATTAACTAACTATGAAGTAGTACAAAATGTTAATCTTATAAAATGTCATTGCCACGTTTACAGAAAAGAAATCCCTAAATATAAAGTGCTCATCTCCAAAAAAATAAAAACCACAACCCAAACCAGACAGCTCTCTCCTGGTCTACAAACAAAATAACACTTCGTATTTTATTAAGTTTGCTGTACCTGAATCATCATTGATGTTGTGTTAAAGGTTTCAAATGTGCTAAGAAATCAATCATTATAGCATATGCAAGAGGCAATTTGAAGACTCTGTGAGTCCTGCTATCAAATAAACCTGTTAGCATTTAGAGAAATACTTTCTAGACAGAAACTTGCTAACAGAGAAAGAACCCATGGGATCCTTTAGATGGCTAAGGGCAGGCAGACCACAACTCCTCTGCCTGTGACATGAAATTGTGAGCTACACTGATGCAACTGAACGACTTCTAGCCAGGGCTAGCTCGTACCTTGCCAGCTCAGAATACAGACAAAGGTATTCTAGACTTCTTTTATCCATATGCACAGATGTGTTCCAAGACAAAAGAGGGAAAACATTCTAGATCTATAACAATTTTCAAATATGCACTCGTCCAGCACCTAGCACAACTGGCCAGGCTCTATAAATGCAATTGAAGTGCTAGCACAATTCCAGCAGTAAAAAGAGGTTAACTCCTTGTTATATGCACACTAGGTTGATTGAAAGCCAACAAAACAAGGGCATTAACTATCAAACTCTTTCAGACTTTACAGGCATAATCCAGAATCCTCCAATAAAGTATAAAGTAAATCATCTAGAAAAGTGTTAGCAGGCAAGGTCATCCTTAAAAAATATCTCTATCAAGCTGGAGAAAATGGAAATACACTCTAGAAAGTGAACTTGCAATTGCCATACCTAAACAGGACGGGGTACGGATCATCCCTTTCTGGAGGGCCTGTAATGCGTGCCATTGTTGGGAAAGATTTCACAGGTGGCTGAATCATTGTATGAGGAGCAGTTTCCATTAAATGGAAGATTTCTTCAAGAAGACTAACGAGTTTTTCCATCTCTCCTTCGCTTATGTTAGAAGATTCCAAAAGATGATCCATGTCCATAGGAGCCTCCACATCATTCTCATATTCTTGATTGGTTCTTTCAAGCGTTGCCAAGTCCTGGTCCTGTTCTGGCTCCGTATGATTAGGAAGAGAAGGAGTGTTCTCTGCTAATTGATCAACCACCTTTTTAATATCTGACAGAATCTCGTAGAAGTGACACTTCTGGAGAATTGCAGAACCAGCAGTAACTACTCTCACAGTCTGATCTAACAGTATGAGTTCCAAGAGTTTCTGATAACCACTTTTTTCATGCACATCTCCACCACCCCTTAGAAACATTTCCATTCCCTCAGTCATACTAATAACACTATCCAAAGCTTTAAAAGCATTCAGTTTAAGGGAGGATGATACATGATCTGCAAACAACAATTCAAATAACACATTAATAACTCCTGCCTGCAAGAGAGCCATTATTCCTTGAGTCCCACATTCTCCTAACGACGATACCAGTTTTGTCCCAGCTTTGAGCTGTCGGACATTCAAAGCAATGGGCTGTTTGAGAGCGACCTGAAGGTTTAAAGCTTGCAGGGTCCAGTCTACTAGCTGGGCAATATAGTCTTGCTTTGTGTCTTTCGCCTGCAGGTAGCTCAATCCTTTCACTATTAAACTCGGAACTTCTTCTAATGCAGTGACCCACTTTGCACCCCTTTCCTCTTGATATAATTCCAATAGTTCCGTTAATTTAACTGAGGCTTCCACTGCCCCTGAATTTTCTTTTTCTGGGTCTTGGTCCTTTATTTTATCAACTTCATTTTCAAAGACAGTCTTGTAAGGGCAGCTGAAGTATAGAAGAGGTCCAAGCTCCCTTTCAAAGGGTTCATACGTCACAGGAGGCACAGATGCTAGATCCTCAGGAGTATATTCAATATCAAAGCTTGGATACTTAAATGTTTCACGTTCCAGGTCAGCAATTCCATCTTCATCACTTGAAATCTGCTCATATCCATCATCTCCTAAAATGAGAAAGATTCAGCAATAAAATAAAAACAATTACGGATAAACTAGTTCCTAACTGCTCAAAATCTGCTCAAAATAAAAAAAGAATAATTTAATACAAATTTAGTAGTTAGAGAACAATCACACACTAACAGACAGAAAAGTTTCTCTCTCCAGATAAAAGTTACAGCCCCAGTTGACAGATTTGCTTCATATAACTACGGAGACATTTGAAACAATGTATAGAGCAAAAAGTTTAACTAGGATATAATTAGGTACTACAGGAATATTGTCCAATTTTCTCCCCATGACTGCAGCTATCGTAACACTTCTAGCCTGAAATTTTGCACAGGCATAGATGGGAACTTCAAGTAATACAAGATGATACTGACATTATTACATAAAGAGATTTATCTGTTTGTTTGGGTTGTTTTAATTGGGAACTAATTTCTTTCACCTCTTTCCTACACTTTTAAACAGATAACAAGACGAAATGTTCATTCTCACATATGAAAGCTCTGTCTAGTCTCCTCTAAGTATAGAAAGTAACAGGAAGTTTTACTATGAAGGAATAAATATCCCACAGCAAAAATACTGTTTGAAAGATTTCAGAACCACAAACAAGGCAGACAATGGTGCAACGACCAAGGGAAAAAGATCTAGCTCTTGCTTAACTTTCTACAACTTCGCTTACCTTCACCTTCTTCCTCCTCTTCACCCTCTTCTTCATCTTCATCTTCGTCCTCCTCTTCCTCTTCTTCATCAGCAATACTCTCTACTGTTTGCTCATCATCGTCATCATCATCCTCATCCTCATCCTCCTCCTCAACATCCACATCATCTTCATCTTCTCCTTCTTCTGGCTGATCTTCCTCCACTTCTCCATCATCAGAATACTGGCTTTCTTGATGAATGGATGTTCGATCAGGAGAAATGGGCTCAAAGTAATCCTCTCTGTGATCCACATCATCTTCTTTTTCCCCAACCACTAAAGATATTTACAAAGTTGAAGAAGTAAGAGTACTTCTCTGAAATCCAATGCTCAATAACACGTTTTAGAATTTTATATTATGCATAATGAAGACACAAACAAAGCACCTTGAAGAAAATCTTCAGGTGATTTGACTGAACACAAGCAACAATAGTTTAATTCAGCAAGACTACAAAGAAACATGTAAGGAGTTCCTGGCACTTTTAACCCATACAGAAACTAGAGAGCACAGCAGATGCTGCAGAGGGATGGAGAAGAACAATGAATACAAGATTGAATATGATATTAAGACAAAATACAAGCAGCATGTTCAAGCAGTGTACTGCTCAACAGGTAATATTCTCAAATCTACAAACTTTTAAATTGGTATCATTAAACACAGTCAACAGATTTTCTTTCTTTCCTAACACTGAAACTATCCAGCAGAAGGAACAGCAGACAGGAAACCTCACACCCAGCACAACCAAAAAATTCTGCCTCCACTAACAGTGACATGCAGCAGATGAAACATAGTCTGCTGTTTTACCTGACACTGGGATGGGTTCATCCTCATCATCATCAGGAGGAGGAGGGCCTGGAGGTGTCCTTGGTCCCCTAGGCTGTGGTCTCGGAGGGCTGCCATTGAACTGGTCTTCCTTCTCTCCATCAACTATATTTATTGTGTAAATAAAAACATGCATTTAATGGAATCACAGGAATAGAAAAAGGAAAATTCAGTTTTTCAGTGCCGCTTTTGACTAGGGAACACCTTAATTTCCCAGCTGTTACCTGAACTGTACTCTGCAACTGCAGTCATTTTTGATGTAAACAGGAACTACATCAATAAGCAAGCTTATTAACACTACTGATTTTTTTTTAATATAACACTGTGTTTAAATTAACACTTGTAACTGCCATTTTTGGCTTTGATACTCACAATATTGTAGCTCTATGAATAATACTTGAGTTATTTTTTTAAAAGTTTACATTTTAATCAACTGTTTTTTACAGTTTAGAACTGCTTTTCACTAGCTGGAGTATTCATATTTTGCAGCCCAACAGCAGTCCCTTGAACAAAACAGTTTTAATTTTAAATCTAAAATCAAAATTGAAGCAGAAACTTGATCATTCACAGCCATTTTAACAGCAATGCAAAGCAAACAGTTTTCTGCAGTGTACTTTACATACAAGTGACAAAAGGAAGTGAATTAGGACTGTGAAGCTTTCTTTTTATGAATTTAATACTATTCTAGTAACTTTTTTGATATTTCAATCACCTAAATTTTAAGTTCACACAATTTAAACTGCATTTTGACCACTGTAAGTAATTAGCAATAGATCAAGTAATCCACTCTCAAAAAAGCACTACACAAGAATCTACTTAAAGCAATTCAACATAAATCTAAAAGAAAATACAAAACTAAAGGACAAAGACACAAAGCTAGAAAAATAAAGCCACTGCAATCTAACATGTGAAAGAATTGCTTTCTTTTTTTTTTTCAAATAAGATACTATGTTGACTTTAAAAAAATAGATGTCTTCTCACAAAGCTTACCATGTTTTGGGTTTCTTTTCAAACCAGGCTGTTGCTGGGGAGGTGGGGGTGGAGGTGGGGGTGGAGGAGGTGATTCTCTCTCATGACTTATTACCCTGTCAACTGAGCCATATATTGCCAAAGTCAAACAGTTGTACCACCCTCTTAGAACCAATCCATCCGTGTTGACCTGTGTTTTTTAAAAAGAAAAGACACTTAAAAACAACACAACTTCAGTAAAGTTATTTTAATATCAATGTACCAGTATCTGCATAAAAGAAAGGAAAAATCAAACATTGAAGTATCTCTTTACCTCACATTTCAAAAACTGAGAAAACTTTAAATATATCAATCATTACAATAAATAAATAATCTTTCTTTAAAAGCATTCAGTTCTGTGCAATATATTGCCTAATCCACTACAGCCTACTTGTCCTGGTTTGAGGTAAACAAAACAAATTCTGTTCAGTGATTTTT